AAATAAATAACTGAATTTAAATATTAATTAAAAATTACAAATATAAAATTAAAAGACTGAATTTAAGAGTGATCTATATGATAGTAACATATAAAATGTAATGTAAATAAATATTTGTACTAATTTATAGAATAGCGTATTTTTTTTAAATTTAAACTTAATTTATATAGGTACTCTTAAAAAAGAAATATTATTTTACTGAATCAAAATTAAAATAGTTTTGACATAATAAAATATATTAAAATCTTTGTTGAATATATCATAAAATATTAGGTAGACGTATGTGTATAATAAACCTTTTTATTAATGTTACACATTTATAATACCATTTAACGGAATTTTATTTTAATTTGTATTCTATCTATTAGTTTTAGGCAGTTAACGATTAAAAAAAACTGTGAATAATAATAATTTTCTTTATTATATATAATAAAACTATGAAAATGTTGTTCTGCGCAAATACTAAAAACACTTTTAGTAACATTGATTAATATTATATTTTAATTTGATAAACGTAATTAATATGTTGTAACTTATAGATAGAATTTAAATATTAATTTAAAATAGATAAGTATAAATTAAAAATAAATATGGAATAAACATTGAATAAAAATTGTACATTGATTACGAAAAATTTAATATTTTTTCTTTGTAGAGGATTTTCATAGTAAGATACATGGCAATATATGGTGTACATATATATACTAGTGTAAAATTTTTCAGTCGACGTTAATATATTATTGCAAAATAACGGCGTCGCGTAACGGTGTAACTCATAACTTTGTAGATAGCTTTTATTTTCGGTAATCTCCGATAGTCGTTTATTAGCTCGCACCCGACCGGTCGGGTGATTGATCGTTAAGTTGACATTATTATTATTTATTTTTTTTTTTATCGAATTCTATAATAATATCTATTTACTGTATTATTATTATTATTGTAGTGAAGGTCAACAAGCGAAAGTGTGTACACAAAATTTACATAAACGAAGAAATGTGGTCCTGGAGTTTGTATGACGTTTATGCGTTCATACTTTATAGCAGGTACTAGTAACTACTTATAATTTGTTCTTTTAAAGCATCATCAAGAATTTACAATTATTATTATTCCGCACTTTGTAAAATGTTATGGCAAGAGTTAAAAAAAACAAACGTCCGATTGTGAATGATTTACAAATCGATCTCTAGTAATTTCTTAAAATGTGTGTCCATTTTTTTTTCTATAAAACCATGATACTATTGAGTACAATTTTCGAGTAATATTCTTTTAAGTCTGTTGTCAATGATGATAATATGCAAAGTTAAACTTTACTTTAACATTATAGATATTACGTTATCTATATTAAAATTAAGAAAAAATATATTAGCCATTATAGGAACTAAATATTTATTCTTAATAATTAGTTTTATGTTGTAAATATAATATGGATACCGAGAAAAATTAGAATGTTTACCATTAATTTATTAATAGTAAAGATCATACTGATATATTATTAATAATTATATAAGTCGATCTTCAAAGGAAACACAAAAATTTTTTATAAACATTTGAATCAAAAATAAATTGACTATCACTTGTCTTCGATAACTATATTTCTACTTTGTCTATACAATATACTATATAATATATGTAATGTATTAATATAATATAATTTACTTACTATTTTATATGTTTGATGAGCGCCACTGCTGCCACTCACACGCAAATATACTATAATGTGTATAGTATGGGCGACTATACCACTTTCACCGAACTATAATAATAATATGATGATAATATTATTATTTTATTAATAAAATAATAATAATAACATTTTTGTTAACGACGACAAGTAGTTATTATTATATTACAGTGTTTATAATATAAATTTTCGAAACACACACATTGTTGTATAATATACAATAATATTTTATGTTACATAGTTAGTTATACCATGTTAGATTGTTATTCATTTCAAATATTTGATTTTTGCACAGACTTGAACACCCTTCCCCAAGAAATTAAGACTTACTAGTATTATTATGTATTATGTTTGATATTTTCGTATATTGCGAATTTCATCAACCAATAGGTGATGGCTAATACCAATTAAATTGTAATAATATTATAGTAAGTTGATTTGATTTTAATTGTTATTTATTGCGTAACTTTTATATTTTTTTCTCAGTTTTTCATATTATTCTTTAGATGACGACACTCGGGTGTTTATACATTTTGATTAAGTGTTTTTATTTTATTTGTATTAAACTGTTATGTGCCTTTTTATTTTTAAATAATTTATGTTAATTTTTAGATTTTTAGATTGTAAAGGTATTCATTTTCGACAACAATGATTTTCAAATATTTATTTGTGGTGGACAATTTAAATAAAACATTACTTTTGATTGTTGTAATATGTTTACCTGATTGAATAAAATTGAAATTCATACGAAAATAACATCATCCGAAAATCATACTAACTAGAATACTAAACAGTCAATAATATTGATACATAAATCATTAAAACGAGTCACCGTAAATTGTTTATCGATAAGACGATAAATACACTTATAGGCATATTGTGTAAAGAATGTTTTATAGGTACGTCTTCATTTTTTAACAGTTATTGTGTAAGTATAAACTTAGACTAAAATACATTTATGGATAGCTTCAAACAATTAGTTAATAATAATTAAATAATTTAAATTAGTATAATAATTTTATTAGTAAGTATCGGTACTTTTCAAGTTTGTTCTGAAACTAAAGAGCACAATAATATATTTAGAGTAGTAATTGTAAAAATATACCACATGCTTGGTATTCCTGCGTGAAACAACAGTACATACGTTTTTAAAAACCGGCTTTTTACGTTCAATTAAACGACACGTAAATATTTTCTTTATTATAATGCCATTAGAAAACGATTGTTATAAAGTGAAATTCTTTGTCGCCAACAAAGATTAGATTTTGATACTTAACTAATTGCTTTACCTACATTGAAAATGTTTTTACTATATTTTTATAGGTTTCATTTTATTTTTTCAAAATTACTAAATGAAAATAAATAAAATGTGGTATAAAATATATTCTTGGTATTTTTTCATACTAAAATAACGTTATCTTACATTTTTATTTTTTTATTTAGAACTTACAGTAAATGAAGCATTTTAATAACACTATTACAAGTCATTGGGCTATCGGAGTGTTGTATATCTAATATAAATGTATAATACTATATTAATATTTATAGCCTACAGGAATAATGCGTATAATATTGGTTATATTGTATGATAAATTTGTTTAGGTATATTGGAATGTCGATTTCCATTTAGCTAAACCACTAATCACTATACAATATTTTATATTTTTTTCCAGTCTCAACAAATATGAGATTGTTTTTATCGTCTATATAGTTATTTGATATGAGAGACATGCGTCAATTTAATTTTTCCTTTATTCAAATCTAGTACTTATAATAAATTAGACCACAAAATTGTGTTTGAGCGAGTTCTGAAATCTGGTTCGAGCTTTATACATCAGATTAATGGTTATTTTATAGCTTTCCTTATGAAAGTAATAATGGTGAAAACTAAAAAAAAGTCGTGACGGAACAATACAAATACATGATATCTTGAACTAAAAAACAACGAATGCGTTAACATCACAAAATATACGTACTAAAATAATTATTATGTTATTTATACAAGTAAAAACAAAAAAGAATGATTTGTTTAGTTTCATCAATTATACTTAAATACATTATATATACGATTATTATAATATAATAATAGTATATAGCTACTAATGATCGTCTACACATGAATGTGACAATGGTTGCCCGCACAGTTACGGTTATCGTCAAAACCAAAAATAAATTAAGTTGACTATTGTTTTAGACTTCGAAATTCAATGAGCATTTGTTTTACTGCTCGTGTAAAAAGATTTTTAACGGTAAAATTCGAAGCTACGAAGATGAAATATTCAGGGAATTTTTAATAGTTATAATTAGATATATAATATACATCCGATTTTTCTATTTTAATATAGGTTACTGTTATAATATTTCGATTATTAATTTGTCCTGAATTTTTAATTCAATATTTTTTAACTTGACACTAACAATATTGTGATTAATATTTAATTCTATACTAGGTAAAATTATGTTCGTAGGAAACTACAATATAATTAAAAAAAAATGTTACTAAAATATTCAATAATACGGTATAACCAGCTGCTTATCAAATTTATCTACTATAAGTAGATACATGAACTTCGCTTCCGTTGAACACAAATAATATGTACAGGTTAGACCAATTGATATTATATACGATTGTCGCGTCGTCATTATTTCTTAGATTTCGATAACAGCATTATAAAAATTATGTTACAATGATTCGTTGTAATGCTGTACAAAAATCTTAGTTATAACGCTCAATTTATAGCGTATAGCCCATTAGATTTTAGTAAACATTTATTTTACAAAGCAATGAAGTATTATCGAAATTGATAATATTTTACTTAACAATACAATACTAAAATCCCAAAAATGTTTATAACGACTAAATTTCAAGGATTCCTGTGAAGCCGTAACTCATAAATCTTTATTCGAGTATTTGTACATAATATTAATAGGATGTATGTGGAGGGTTAAACTATTTCACATTAGAGCTTTACTTGAACAATAAATTTCATATTATACTTCAGTTACACTCTGTATATTATTAGTGAAGTGTTTGCAATTAGTTGACCGTTTAGACTGTTTCGTATTGACCTTGCATTTTTCCGGAACAATATCCAGTAATTCCGGTGAACATATTATGTTGTTATCGGTACTCGGCAATTAATTTAAATTAACAATAGTAATTATAATAACGAAAATAGTAATAATAGTAAATAGGCGATGTCACTTATGAATGGCGTTCGTTCGGCGCACGCGCATGTATACTACATTCGAGACCGGTTTTGATGGTGGTGGTGACTGGTGGCCCAGAAGACCGTCTGGCAGATGACGGCGTGTTGATAAAACGTCAGTTTCGCTGCAGACTTACACTGGTTAGGTGCTGTACTGCTCTTGTAAGTTTTTTCAACCGTTCGAATTATAGTTCGCGAAGTGTTTGAATTTCGATTGGTTTTTTAAACATGATATCCGCAACCGTTGTACTGTTGGCATGCACTGTGACAATCGTCACCTGTGTCGGCAACTTACAGACCATAAACGAATGGACATTGCTACAGTACGATGTGCCATTTAATTACCCCAATGCCGACTCGTACAAGCCCGAAGTCACGATATCCACCGGAATTGAAATTGGTTGGTGTATTATTGTATTTAATTTTTTTTTTAACTGAAGTACCGTCGTACTGATACTACATGATAAGATGAATATTGAATACCATCAAACGTAGGTTTAGTTAGTAATGTGTGCGACTGCGTTTAAGTCTCTATCGCTCTAGAGTTTAATAAAATACATTATAAATACATAGTTAAGTAAGATTTTAGGTGTCTAATTAATACATTTAGATCCGTTTAAATAATATTATGATTATATTTAACGATGATTTATATAATCTAAAGTTTATACTATAAAAATATTTTGATGATTTGTGACAATGATTTTTGTCTGTAGTCTGTTTCTATTCTATTATCTCTTAGTATTCGCGTACTGTTTTGCATAAAAAAAAAATAAAATATCGGAACTAATTTTTCTCAAATTTTAAGTCAAGAATAAATATTATTTTACTATAATTATCTAAATACAAAATGAATATATCAAATAAAAGTATAAATCTACTAATTTTTTTTAATCTGAAGTTACCATAGTTTCTAAAAAAGAATAAGTATATTTATTATTTATTATAATAATGTTTACGATTAGGTTATTACTCTAGTCAATACGTATCACGTAAATTCATTAAATGATTAATAATACCCTAAACCAGTAGTTATCATTTTAATTGTATGTTATAAAATATTATGTTGCAATCAAATTTTTTAAACTTTATTATTCAAGAATATATTTATAGTACATTTTAATCGATCAACTTTTGATTAAAAAAAATAACCCTCTATATTACATAAATAAATACATTTATTTATAAGTGTAATTTTTATATCAATACATTTTTTTTAAATTTTAAAATTATAATAAATACCAACAACAAATAAGGTTATTAATCATAATTTAATAATTTAGTAATTTTATATAGTACCTATAGTAATTATGCTTTGTAATTGAGTCTTCGATATTTCACAGTATAATAGTGTATACTTACTAAGTGTGTATACAATACCATATTGACCATTTTTATTAATCATCAATGAAACGTGTAATAAGTAGAGCAAGGATTTTCAAGTTGTTACATATTTTTCTGGTTAATTTTATTGTACGCTTAATGAGTATAAAAAAACAATTAAAAAAATTTGTTATCGAATACTCTAAAATATTGGTTTATGTTTTTAATTTTGAGGGTAAGTTTGATTTTATAGTGTATATTTTAAATGTTTATTGACAATTTAGTATTTTGGAAAATATTTTTCGTAAATCGAAGTCAGTAATAATTAAACTGAATTTGTCAAAGACATCAGAGAGACTAATTTTTATCTTAATGGTTACTGAACAGTTAAGATTAGGTACATATAATACAAAGTAAAGTTTATCAAATAATTTATTAAATCTATTTTTGTTTAATATCACAGATTGCGATATGTTAGTGTGGAGATGTTACAAAATTATTTAGTAATAGGTTTTTTTGCATGTATTTAATTGATATTATTTTACGTATAAATATATTTTTCATGTTTTTTTTACTGAAATTAAGTCCTTGCTCTAGTATTAAATATAGCTCTTGATTTCATTTGATAATTAAATTAATTACATGGCATAATTAAATATAGCGGGTAATCTAGAATAATTATGTAGCAAAATGCTTTGAGAGTAAACGACCGAAACATACAAATTTAAAAGGGGAACGATTTCCTATAATTATAAAAAGGTACATCCGAGAAACAAAGTTCGACCTTTAGAGGTACCTACTATTTAAATTTTAATCTTAATTTTTTTATATCGAAATTTTATTTTATTTTTATTCACTATTTTTGTATCATAGTTAGGTACTTTTAGGTACTTATTTTGAATTCTGTTCTTAAAAAACGTGTACATTTAATAAATTAATACTGTTTTTAATTGAACTAAAAATATAATAAATTAATAATATACAATATTTTATAATCATATATTATTAAAAAGTTTAATTTTTAACATACACTTGTAAATAAATAAATTATAATATATTTGTTTTATAAATTCCTACTGCATTTTATATGACTAACCCAAAACTACTATAATTATCTATTTTTCAATTTTTAATAGTCTATAATCTACATTTTAAATTATATTTATAAAAATTCAAGAAAAGTAAAGATATTAAATCATTTGTAAAATTGAATATAGTAAATTAATTTATCTTTTTAAATTTCTTAGTTCTTTGTGTGTATTATTTTTTATGATTTCACACTATACGTATTTATGAATGAAATTCTCAAACTAGCGTGTTAGGTGTAAACTATTATTTATTTTCAATATAAATTATATAAATTTATAACTCCGTCCATGCAAACGCATCACTGTTATTTCTTTACTACTTTATTTATTTTATTAAAAAAAGTATTAAAATACTTAAAACGTTTTTTTTTTATTGATAATGAGAATCTTCTTAGTTTTAAATTATGTTTAAAATGTAAAATAATATAAATGTATAAGTATTATAATGTTATTTTAACACTTGCTTATCTATATATCTTATATTTATTGTTTATACATACTATAACATGCATGTTAAATTTAGACATGTCACTCCATTAAGTTAATCTCTGTAGATATCTCGAAAAAATACCCTTACTAAAATATATTATATACAATTTCTCGGATATTAAATTATATTTATAGTTTCCCACAATACTAAGTAAAAGTATTAAATATTATATAAGTTGCTATTTATTACAGTGTACTCATCAGTCATCAGTCATCGCGGAATGAATTCTGCTTTTCATTTAATTTTAGAATTATGTTTCTATTTTTCCAAAAAGGTTAAAATACGTCACAACTTAAAATAAGTTAGTATTTTATTAGTAGCATAATGTTCGTATAATGGTTGATATAACATTAATGGATACATTGTGAATGTAATAAAATATTATGTGAATACAATTTACCAATTATTATAAAAAAAATGTTTAATGTATTTTATTGTTATTTACATTTTTATATTTCTGTATGAAAACTACAACAGTTGATAATAATGCTATTTTTAGTCTTTATTTAAAAATGTTGGTCGATGTTTTAATATCATTGATATGAAAACTAGATAGCGCCATACATTCAACAAAGCTTTAACTTACATTAAGGCATTTTTCATAAGAAATGTTAGCAATATATATTATGCAACAGGTATAATCTAAAAAATTTTATCATAAAAACACAAATCACATACATTTACAATCCGTTTTGTTAACTGCAGGTTGGGATAGAATATTCATTACGACCCCGAGACTGTTCAACGGCAATCCGGCCACGCTGGCGTGGGTGCCACGCAACCGAGCTGGCGTGAATTACGATACCCATAAATCGCCGTTGTTACAGGTAAATAAGTTATTTAATTAATATATACATCGTGTAGCTCTAGGTTTGAGTCTATAAATACAAATTCGATAAACCGGAAACTCTCGAGAACGTGTACAAGTGATTTCCGACTACACGCGGACGTAACATTCAACTTGACATAACATCTTAAACGACGATGGTTATAATGATATCATTGCGCGTTGATTGCATATTGTGCCACGATATGGTATTTTAAAACTTGTATTGTTTTTGTGCAGGCTTATCCTAATTGGGAATGGCACAGCGAAGCGTCCAGCGGTGATCTGCTGACGTCGCGGACGCCCAACTGTTCCAGCCTGGTATCCGTGTTTCGGGTCAGGGCAGATAGGTGTAACAGGCTGTGGGTGCTGGACAGTGGAGTTATGGACAGCATAGAGACATTCAAGACGGTTTGCCCACCCAAGTTGTTAGTGTTCGATATGAGAACCGACCAAGTGGTGAGTATTCTGATTTATTATAATTATTTCACCACCTTTTGATATGTCCAGCGTTTGTAGCCACACGACCGTTTAATAATAGGTACTATATTTTTAATGATCAACAATGAATTATTGTTGACAATTTTATTTTCGTTTACATTTTTTTCTTATAACCAATTGATAAAAATAATAATACGCAATAAAAAAAACAAAAAAAAAAAAACATGGTTTTTATGTTATATGGTTCTTTTTCTTGTCTCATCAATAGTAATTTATGCGAATAATAACATATTCTGTAAAAAACAATATAATATATTATTAATACATACGAATATACAATAACACAAATTATTGACACCAAAAAAATAATAATAATTAATAATTATAAGTCTTGACTCAAAGAAATTATGAGACACTAAGAAATTAGATAGAAAGTTGGAACAGAAAAATACTACTTTAAATATATTATAATTTATAAATTGATACATATAAAATTTATCAATATAAATAATAAAGTAAAAAAAAAAATGATTAGTTTATAAATAAGGGGAAAATTATAGTAATGATTGTAGGTTATTAAATTAAAATACTTCACCAAACGTTAGATACATTCTATTATTAGGTGATGTGATTAAATAACCCGCAGATATATAATAATATCGTATTTATTTGTGTGTAACAAAAAAAAAAAAAATGAACGAACTTGATTTTTTTTCATTATAATGCTGAGAAAGTTAATGATATTTGTTAGCTCATCACATTTATGTGTATAACATAATATTATTCCATTAATCCTAGTTAAAAGTTTTTATTGCACTAATTGTTGTGTGATTAGAAGTAACACCGTATACACATGAAAACTTTGTATTGTGGCTTTCAGGTGAGAAGTGTGACACTACCTGCTGAAATATTGAGGCCCAACACTCTTTTGACAAATTTGGTGATCGATGATCAGGTTGAAGTGTCTCATTTGCAAGACGGATTTCTCGGAGACTGTGATAATGTGTTTGTGTACATGACCGACAGCACAAACCCAGGTATTCTGGTGTACGACGCCCGACGAGACACAGCGTGGAGACTCTCGCATCCGTACATGTTCCCGGATCCAGACTTCGGAACCTTCTCGGTTTGTTACCATTGATAATATTATCATAATATGTGTTAATATATATATATATATACATAATTATTTTAAATTTTTATTATAATATTACTTTTCGGGTTAAAAGTTTTTAAGAGTTGCTAAACTATTATAATGCAAATAGAATCTGCATATGGATTTTCTATAGATTGTTATTAATTATTATTTTGTTTTTGGTATACGATAGCTATAACTTATAAATATTATTATATGTACATCGAAAGTGTTTTTAAGTTCTGAACGAAGCTATTGGTATTATAATATACCATTATTTAAGTAACATTGATACTAAGGTATTGAAATAGTTTAATAAAATGTGTTCATAATATGCATAATCCCTTTATAATGTATAGCACATTGAATACATATTAAATTTTTCTCTGTAGTTTTTTAAAATCGCAAAATAACAGCTAATCGCTGTTAACATATTTTTACATTTTTGAGGTCAACCCAAATATTTATTTTTAAATATAATTTCTATTATTACCATCAATTTAATTTCAAACGGCATATGAACAGTGGCTTGCCCAAATTTTAGTTAACCACTTTTTTAGATTCTGAGCAGACCAATGAGTGCATTGATTTTACAATGATATGTTTTTTTATGTATAGGAAGAAAACTATGTAATAATGTATAGTTAAATATAAAAATGAAAAAATCGTTCATACGTATTTTGAAATGTCTAATATTTTACCACTTCCGTAAGTTGGATCGTGTAGTAATGATTTACCATCTGTTTTTTGCATGTTTCATATATAGGTAGCCGGTGAATCTTTCACCCTGATGGATGGCGTCATCGGCCTAGCTTTATCGCCTTACGGATCCGTAGGTCGCCGTTTATACTTCCAGCCGTTCGCTTCCGATCGTCTGTTCTCCATACCTACATCTGCACTTAAGGCTGGACCAAATTTGGGCGATGATGCCGATCTTCCCGTATCACTGGTGGGTCACAAGTCTTCACAAGCTGCTCCGTTAGCTGTTGATCCTAAGGATGGAGCTCTCATATTCAGTCCGGTGTCCGAAACGGCCTTGGCCACCTGGATTCCGGGATCCGTGGAACACGGGTGAGTTTAAATATCATATTAGTTAGACCTGATAATTCTTGGTCGCGTCAGTAGCTCTGACTTAAACTTTACTACGATTTAAATTTTTTTAAATTCATTTATTTCCAAGATATTTACTATTTATCATCATTAAAATACATTAATGTTTTAATTCTGAGTATATTCTCGTTATAATTCTGTTTTATTCCTTCAGTATATATTTGGTATACCAGATACCTAGTCAAAAATTAACTAAATGTAATTTAACTATTTAAATTATATGATCAATTCTATTGTAATATTTATTCGGTATAATAATTCTGACTTTATTGTAGCTCGTTTTATTTTATAATACCTAAATGAGACGACTATGCTTCGTTTCAGTTACCAGGTTGATTTTGTTCAGCAGAGCAAGACAAATATTCCACACGTAAAGTTTAAGTTTTGCCATCGTTATTTAAATAAAGTTTTGGGTATCCAATTTTCTAGTAGCTTTTTTGTATTACGTGCTACTACAAAACTTTAAATTGGTAACATCAAACCGGAATTAATAACATTATTTTCACGTAAAAAAATACTGTACTTGTAAGGCTTTCTTACTAATAATGCGGTAATTGTATATAAAATCGTTATGCTTTATTGATGATTGGTTTTGTATTTGTTTTTATAAAACATATTATAATAATTATAGTATTATCATAATGATGATTTTTTTTTGACTCATTACCAAATAAAAATTGAAAACTAATTATTATTTGTGAGATATCAGCTGTGTGATATCATAATAAAATATACAAATGACTATAATATTATTATTTTATGGAAATAACGTACTATATTGTCGACTAAGACAAAATTCGCAGGACTGTCTTATGGTTTATTTTTCAATGGCAATAATATCATACACATCATGGTAAATTAATGTGATTCGTGTTTTCAGTGTGTTGGCATACAGCCCAGAGGAACTACAGTTCGTATTGGATATCAGATCGGCCGATCGCGACCAAGGTGCCATTTGGGTGGTATCGACGCGGTTACAACGATACTTCAAAAAGACTTTGGACAAAAGGGAAGTGAACATCCGTATCATGAGGATACTCAGGGTTCCAGAGTTCTTACCTTACGCATTCAATAACAATAACTCTCTGCTGCTATTCAAATGATCAGCTGTTATTATACTTGACATTGCACCTAATCAATAATAATTTATTTCTTAACCATGTTGTATCTACCTATAATAATTACATGATAGATACCAAACATTGTAACATTTATACCAGATGATATACGATACGCAAAGTGTTAGGTATAATAATGATGATGCCATTTTATTTAGGGTTGTGCTACGTTCATATTATATAGTAATATAAAATATTAACGAAGCTGCAACATTTAGTTTAATATAATTCCATTGTGTAAATACTATTATTAATTAATTACGATTGAAATAATTCCAGTCGGATCCAGTCTAAAATCCCTTCAGATGATAACAAAATAAGATAATATGTTAATGCGATTCGATAACTTTATAGGTTGTATTATTATTTATTGACTTTTGTTGAATATGCCCGATTTTCAATGTATACATTTAATCAAACGGACGTATTTTTAATTATTATAATTTTTGACAGAAATGCCATATAGATATATTATTTTTGAACCGAACTGCTCAAAGCTTTATATTTATCCAAAAATATAGATTATCAACTGATGCCAAAAATAGTATTTGAAAAATATTATACAATAAAATACGATTTCAACGCATAATAGAGTATGCTATTCTATTTTGGTAAACTATTATTGTTGTCACATCTTAAGAGACCAAACAAAAATGTAATCACTTAAGACGTAACTATACGTTGATGTTACCGATGTAGTACTAAAATACTCTGTTTATTATCATTTAAGTATTTTATTATTGATCAAAATGTATTATTTAACAATATAATTTTAAGAATATTGTAATTTAAGTAACGTCTGTTATTGGTTAATCCAAGAATACAATTATTACAATTATTTTGGTTTCATTATTATATTATTATAGAACAAATATATTGTTTAATGTATTTTACTTAGCTTATTGAATTACGGAATATTATAATATAGATAATGTTTTTGAAATTGTGTGTTTAACTAAACGTTAGTCACGTTATTGGTTATTGCAAATAGACCATGACTATGGTCGTACATCCATACATATAATGATGGTCTTGCTGAACTGAAATGTGCATTGATTGAAATTACATATCCTAAATTGTAAGAAAACTCTTAATGTGGTTTAGCGTATAACCTGTTGGAATTTTTATAAGTGGAATAATTCAAAGAGTTGAGCTTAGTAAACATTATAATGAAACTGTAGAAGTATGTTGTGGTGTGTCACTCACAAGGTACAGTATCAGATATCTAATTATTTATATTTTTTTTATCAATATTCTATTGAACAATAAAATCAATTTAAACACTGACATTTTGAACTTTGTTGATAATAGTATAATACTGCTATTTTATTATCAGCGCCATCTATGGATAATTCTCGTTATGAAGCAAATACAACTTAAAGAAATATTTACATTTTATTTAGTAGGAATAAATTAAAGCTAGATTTATTCAAATCAAAATATTTATTTATTTTTTTTTTTTTAAACACGAGTATTTTAAATAAAATTGGTTAATAAAGTCAATTTTCTTAAATTTAGTTGAATTTTGAATAATAAATGTGGATCACAATGTGTCGAACTTAAAAATGTGAAAGAGTTAAAATGTTTTTGTTTTACTATAGATTATTCACTTAAATAGAACAGCCATATAATGTTTACTAACAATCTTATACATAAATTCGTCTTTATATTTAAAGAAGAAAATATAAATTCAATAAATTATAGATTATAGAAGAAACATTTATTTATTTTTAATACCATCAGCTTATTTTTATAGTATTTCAATATGAGGATTTTCAATAATCATTCATCTATATAAATAGTTATTACAAACTAAATTATTAAATATTTATTGAATTTATCTATTCAAACCAACATCGCTTTGATTTACAAGTTTCTTAAAATAAATTATTTTAAGTTTATTTTTAATTGATCTAGGTACTCTAATTGAACTTCATAGAAATTAATATTTAGTTCCCTTCTCTGTGAATAATAAACAAGATTTAAAATTTAAACACAATATTAATACACGGTTATTGTGTTGCAATACATTTTTTAGCCAAATACATGTTTTATACAAAGATTCAAAATGATTTTAAACGATAAAAATTAATGTAAACAATAAAATTATTAATGTGTTATGTCATTCAAAAACTATGATGGGCGTTTTGATTTATGTATTTGTTGATTCAAAATTTTAATTTTAAATATGGCACACTTAAATACTATAATAAGTATATTGTACATTTTAATACACGAAGGTACTATATTTTTATTCTTATTTTACTTGGTTTTTGTATAACAGTATTATTGTATAGTTTATTTTAAAGTAGTACTAATATTTATTATAAAATGTAAAAAAAAATTGATAATAACCACTACCATAGATTGAGCTTAGCTTAAAGGGGGTGCTGCAATTTTTATATTAAAAATTTAAATAAATTACTTATAAAATGTATAATATGTTATATTGTTACAACAAAGTTATTTTAAAATAACATAATATACATACGTTACTCTTGAAGGGTACCTATTTATGTTATATATATCAAACATAAATTAATCAATTTTGATTTATTTATTCTCTCATAAATAATTTTTTTGATAATATCAGACAAAAAAATAGAACAGTATAATATGAATAAATAATAATTGGCTGACCTTAAATTGCATATGCAAAGCGCCGTCTATTGATTTACGCACATCAATTAATTGTTTTTATTATTATAATAATTTTAATAATAATATAATATTGTGTGATTTTATTTTTTATTTTAAGAAGTGGAATAAAGCTTAAAAAAAGAAAAAAATTGATTATTTTTTTTCTATTATGAATAAATCAATATGTACCTGTAATTTAAAGGCTTTTTTTAAATATCTTCAACTATTTTTAATTTTACGAAACTGTGGGATGGTATCTCAAAACTGATATCTATTAATTAATAATATTGATGTGTTATATTATATGAGCTCAAGGGTAGTTTTATTTATTAACTATTTTACTTCCAAATTCATTTTTTTTTTTTCATGTTTAATCTCCTAGAGATTTTAAAATGGAGAAAAATATTTTTTTTTATAAATAATTTTACATTCCTGTCCAATAACTAACGGTGAACACAATCGATTGTACATCTTGAATTTATTTTACGTCTTAGTGTTCGTTTTATAATGGAAGTCCATTAAAACTAGAACAAAGAGAATAGAAATGTATTGTGTTGTGGAAAAAACATTTGCTTGATGTCTGTATTTGTTGTTTTTGATAAAGAGGTTGTTTATTAATGATAGGTACTTGAGTTACTAAAATTTTTCCTACGAGTTCGTGTTTCTTCAAATGATTTTTGCGCAATCAATATTATTTAATAATAATGGAATACTACGGTGTAATGGTACAAAATCTATAATCAAACTCCCCATAATATGTACTCAACTAAAAGCAACATACATCATGTATGTTATAAGCCTGAAATTTCATATTCTCAAGTACTGAAAAATGATTTGATGTATTCAAATGTAAACTATACCACATAGAAAAGTATAAGTGATTTACATAATAAACACTTTTTTTGTCAACGATTGTGAATTTAAATTCTCTATTGAATATTTTATGAATAACTAGATGAAAATAATAACTTGCTACTTTTAGGTATAGTATTTTACTACTTTTCATTTATTCTAGTTTACGTAAGTTAATAAATGTATATTCTATACAATATTTTTAATTTTTATGTTATGAATTTTATACAAATATTTTCATTTAAATACATTTAATTAAATTTATATTTTAATAATTTTTTTCTTTTTAGAAAATTCATACTTATTTAAGAACCTATATAGACAAGTAATCAAATCATGGTGTCTTTTGTAAGTTTAGATTCTTAGACATCTCAATAATCTTTTCATAGATGTCTGCTTAGATAATTTTTTTACTATTGTAAAATTAAAATACTTTAGTTTATATTTTTCATGATTAAGTATTAATTTCAGAATAAAAAATTTTATACCTATTTAACTAGACATATTTATACATTTTACATATAATAGTTTTTTAAATAATTGACATAAATGAAAATGTAACTATAATAATCACAATTAAATTAAACGATTAAATTAAAAAGCAAAACCACTTGTTTTTAGCGATTTACACATTCAAAGATATATAAAGTGAGTTATGTATGTAATAAACTTAATTTAGTTATAAGTATTTATATACCTAATACATTTTTATATTTTAAATGTGGATTTAATTTCTTAATTTTTTCTGGTTTTAATGTCTGATTTTATATTTTTAAAAATGTAAGAGAACTTTTTTTATTATTTTGTTGTTTACTATATTGATATATACTAAATAATATTAGTCTTCATTAGACCTAATACAGTATAAGTATTATCCAATCGAGGCTTAAATCCAATAACAGTTTTATTAAGAATAAATTACACGGTAGTATGCAAACAGTGAGTCATTAACTTATTAGATCAAAGTTTCAGACTACGAGTTTAAACAAAACACATTTTGTGACATCGATATTTTTATCATTAATACATTTAGCGTTAAATCCACTAGCGTATCGTAATAAGAGTACCTAACCTTTTTTATTTTTAAAAATCTATTTATAAATTAATCATAAATGTACGTTTGTAGCTTATAGTATTTAAATACTTGACTGATTTTAATGAAATTATTAGGGATTTTTTCGTATGTATTTTTATGTATGTGTGGTTGTGTGTGTATGGTATATCGAATTACACATAGGAACATGTATGTGTAAGTGTGTAAAAATTAAATTAAATAAATTATTATTGTTTATAATATTAAACAGGTAGGTAGTCGGTATTTCTAAACATATTGTACAGTAAAACAAAGGAAGTTTAGAGGGAGAATGAAAATAAATTTAAATACATTTTTATGTCAGATTAAATTGAAATTTAAAATCGTATTTCACGTGACAAAAAAACATTTGTGGTGTTTATTTCAGTCAGAATTGATTTTTTGTTAAAACTCTGGCGATAACAAAACTATAAAAACTACATTGTGTTTAATATGAACTTTTAGCTGTTAAACGTAAAAATAATGATTAATAGGATTCATTTTGTAAATAAATTAAATAAAAATATTCCGCACAAATCACTAAATAAAAATGGTATCGTATATAAGGTGAAATAGTGTTTTCACCACCATTGTCTTCTTTATTAATGTTTTTAGTTTTATTTTTTTATTTTGATTATACATATTTAATAGTTAATTCAAAGAAACTTCACGATTCGTTTCATTGCATGACGTGTTTTGTGATTACAGTGACTATAAACATCTCTTTAAAAACAATTCACAAGCACTCGATTCATACTGAAAATGGATGGCTAAAAATAAAGTTTGAGTTTATAAACACAGAATCATCGAAAGAAGTTGTTAAGGTAGGATTATAGGAAGATTGACTAACAGTAGCATGGAACTTAATGACATTTAATATCGGTAAATCATTATAATTGGTACCATTATATAATTATTGTAATAGCAAAATAGACTGCAAGCTCAATGCATGCTACATATTATACAATATACATTTAATATATACACCGTATATAAATGCATTGTATTACGTTTCAAATAAACATTGCTTATAAATTATAATCGTTCCATTAGGTATAAATTCGTATAGATCACGCAATTATTTTTTAGTCGTATAGATTTGGATCATACATTGCATTGAGCATTGACTATGAATGCATTTCAAATATTTCCAATGAACACAAATAAACATTACTAAATGACGACATAATAAAATAGTTTAACTGAATATAATGTTGGCATAATTTGTTCAACTACATTGTCTAATCAAATCAAAGTAAATACTAAACATTGTTTAATGCGCGTAGCACTTAAACGTATAACATACTTAGCATTAAACTATGTTTTTATGTACACAGATTTAAAACAAAATAAAATTGTTATGGGTATTTCAGGTTAAAAAATCCGTTTACGATTGCAGTCTGCAAACGCGTCAGTGTCAATTTAAAAAAAAAATCCACACTAATTTGGTTAGTCGTAACGGTCATTGTCGTTCTGTCCATCGGCCCGCTTGTCCCATCATATACCGCGTCATAAAACTTTGACGGTACCATTATCGCGTTATCGTTACCCCTGATACCTATCGGCTATCCGACAGTGATAACGCTGCGGCGGCATCGGCGGCGACGACGGTTTTGCAGGTGCACTGCGCTGCATGTGCACGCGTCGCTCGCTGCACCGGGAACTCGTAGTGGTCGGCCGTTATTGTGGTCGCCCGCGTACTTGCCCTAGGCCAAAAAATCTATAGTTATCCCAACCACGGAGGACGACGCGCGACCGCGGTTTCGATGACCGCGACCGCTTGGGGCGCTAGCACCGCCCGGCCTCGGTCCACGGTCGGGCGCGGGCGGCGCGCGTATGATCGACTGCGACGGCATTTTTAGCATCCAGCGGCTCTAGAAACCGCACGGCCGTCGCCGCGTCGCCTGCGCCGTTAACTCGCGAAATATTTTTCCTCGCACACACGTCCGCGTACACACTAAAACACGCACACACACTCACGCAAACGAACGTGCGTGCGCGCGCGCGCGACCGGCGTACACATACGTTGACCATACAATAATATAATATCGTACACGATATAATATTATTAACGTCTCCGTAACGGATTTGAATATTATTTTATTTATTTATTTTTATTATTTTTTTTTTTTTTTGGATTTCACGTCGCTCGTTTTTGGCCCCCCGCCGGTTTTCGGGGCGCGTTGGTAACCGCGTTTAATACCACGGACAAAGCTGCAGTTGCCGCTTTAGAGAGGACGAGGAAGACCACTCCATACTGGCACGACCCGCTAAAATAACACAGTTTACAGCTGCAACGGTCCAGTCCTTCTTCACACGCCCGTGAGTACGATCGTATTTTATACCTGTACGTTTATTATGTGAACGCCACTGATCTTGACCCGTGCCCCTCACGTTTTGGAGGCTGAAATTGAGAAATCACGTCGTCGCGAGCCGATTATTATTGTTATATAGTACCTACTCGCGAGTGTACGCGTTGGTCACCAACTGTCGACCGTTATTTATAGGTATCGCTCGCTACAGCGATTGTTCGCACAAATATTCGTTTTCGTACCCGTCCGCACGCATACGCTTTGTGTACCTTCAATTCTGCTCTTGCACATCTATACACAGTCATCTTCTGCTGGTATCGACGACTTACCTCCCAGGTGATTTTATGCGGCGCGCAAAACTCGCGTGGAAATCAATATCCGACGACCTTTATAACGCGTCTGTCGCGTTCGAAACAATATTTTATATCCCGAAATATTTTTATTGCGTTTAATAATTTTAATATATACCTACATTTGAGGTTATCTATCCAGACCACCTGGTGGGTCGTTCGATCAGCCGTCGACGTCGTGTTTCTGTTGACGCTGTTACCACCCCAAAATATCATTTTAAATATTACGAGTCATGACATAGGTACATAAGATGTATCATGCATTTGTGTATGAGTCTTGTGATAGTCTTGTTAGGTATCTACGTGCAGGACACGATACCTATAGTTAAATAATTAATGCGCATCACGTGGTAATATCATATATTGTACGACATAACACGCAGCGAATGTAGATATTACATCGATATGTGTATAAATGTACAACGCTATTATGAATATACTAATTTTCAGTAACGAGTAAGTTTTTTTATTTAAACGACTTGTTCAGTTACAGGGGACAATCGTTAAAAATAAAAGTATAATGTATTAAATATTGATCCACCACGTGTTATGATGATAAATGAGTATTACATATATAATACACCACCAACAGATATTTCCACAAAGCTATTTATTGTTTTATATATTTATTTATTTATTATTATTATTATTATTTATTATTTAGTATACCGTTGTTTTGGTGTATATAATATACACTATGAATATATACTACGAAAAACAATCTCGAGTATTTAACAGATAACACTATAATATAAACTCAGTATTCACTCATTTAATAACACATAAAATCCATTACTTTAGTTAATTCATTCAGTAATATTAATATAAAATACCTTTATCTATATTTCATTTATGTATCCATAATAAAGTTATATTGTGTGCAAAATGTTATAATTTAAATATAGCTTTTTCCGTAACAAAAATTATTATTATAAGTAATCGTGATATATTATTTTTAAATTAAATGTACGCTTTGACTGTTTTGATTTTGTACTCCATATAATATGATAAAAACAAACGTATTTTGAATAATAACTAATGTTTCATGTTCGTAATAATATTGTGTTGTAAAAGTACAATTATTAATATTATCGTTATCATCGAAATGATATAATCATTAATCATTACCTACCTATTAAGGATTATTATAACATATAAATATCGATAATCATATCACAAAAAATATATAGGTTACAATTATTATTACATTTATACAATGCATAATTATGTGTGTTTTAGATTAATGCTTTTCTTAATTTTAAAGTAGGCACTGAAATTAATTTATGGTTTTACTAATTTTAATTAAATCTGTTGTTAATAATGGAATCTTATGATTTATAACTACTTCAAACAAATTTTAGATTTTTTACATAGAACATTACATTTTTATTTGATAAATGAATTGTGTTCTATCTATTTTTTGGCTAATACAATTTACAAAAATCGATTAAATCACAGATAGATAGTATAAATAAATTTATTTTATGGTTCAACGTGTTTTACACATAATTTATTGTCATTGCTTGTAAATATAATATTATGCTGGAATTTTGTAACGTATATTATATTCAAAATAATATAAGTATTTAAAATATTATTAAAAAATTTTACTCTTTACTCTTACTTAATTTGTCATATAAATATAGCAGGTTATGTAAAATATCCACGTTACCAATTAGTTTATTATATATTTAGGTATATTTTTCATTAAACTTAAACTGAAATTATAATAATTAATGATATTTATTAGCTCTATATGTGCATTTATAATTGTATTTTATTTGCCCGAAAAATAAACTTTATTGTCAGAACTTCGCATCTAAACAACTAGTTATCAGTAAGTAGTCTTTTTATTCGTCATAATTTTTTAATAAGATAAATGGATAAATGTCGTTATTCATTAGTATTAAATAGTAACTTATTGACATTAATATTATATATCTAACAATATAAATATATTTTAAAGCGGGAATTTTAAGGACTAAGTATTAAATAATATTGATAATAATAAGCTGACATGGCTTTTCAACATATAAAAACAATATATTTCGTTCCTTGTGTAGATATCTTAAAAATATTAAACTTTAATAAAAATAACATTTTTATATTGTATTATATTGTAATTAATTTTAAATTTTAAATGATAATACATACTATGATATTTTAAAAATCAGTGATAATAGTAATTATAAGTTATGTAGTTTCTTCACATTACAGTCACAGCTGAATACTATAAATTTGACATATAAACGTTTACATTTTTTTTATTAAAAATAATCACAAAATAAAAACAATAATTTAAGCAGATTAAACAAATCAGGAATATATTGAAAATTAACAATAAAAATGGAACAATTAGTAATTTTAAACAATAATTATAAGTACCTATACATAATTTACTTTAGGCAAATATAATAAAGTTTACATACCTACTATTATGTATTTAATATGAACATTTTATTAGTTGCATTGTTGGATGACGCTCTAGAAGTGATGAATCAGAAAAATATTACATGTATAAATAATTCACATTAAATCATTCTATGACGAAAAAAAATAATCTAATTGAATGTGAAAATAATTATTGTTGAATTATTCGAAGGTCGCCTCTTCCTAGAGTGATATTAAACAATTGAAATCGTTCAATTAAACGTCCCTAACAGTCAATTAGTTTAAGCTACGTGTGATTTAAGACTATTTCTACAGGTAAATATGAATGGCATCCATGCATATATAGCTAGTATATATTATAAACCTACATATTGTAGAATACATGTTTATTTTTATTAATGATGTATTATTAAAAGTAGTAAGTAGTTACTTGAAACATGTTAGGTTAGGTTATAGATTTTTATTTAAAATAAAATTTATAATAAAAATATGGATTATATAATACACAGCAGATGCCATATAATATAGTTTTATTTATACGTATTGATTTAAAAGTCATGGTTATTGTTGAATTATTGTTGTATATATAATAATATAGTATATTAAATTTATTGTAACCTATTTAATACGACAAGATATCCTTAAAGAATAATAATCAAATAATAAAGGAAACATTAAATATACACTAACTATTTTCCAAAATGTACTATTCGTTTTTATATATTAAAATTAAAAATACAATTAATAATTAGATAATTATAAATTATTTATATATTTGGTTGAAACTTTAATTTTTAATCTCTTGAAATTATCAACTGATCATAATAAAAACTATAGGTGTAATATAAATTATTTATGCTTAACTTCACTTTAAATAATGAGATTTTCATAGGATTAATGATTTTTTAATTAATTTAATAAAAATAGGATTTATACAATTTAATGCACCTTTTAAATGATAAGTAATTTTTTGTAAACGTACCCTTTATTTTTTTTTAATACTTGAAAATACATTTAAAATAAGCAGAAAATAGCTACATCATTTATAATAAAAAGTTTTATTTAATTATTTTAAAAATATTATGATATTACAAGGGATGTAATAACTTGCTTTATATTTATTATTATTATTATTTTTAAATAACCGTTACAAGTTTACTTGGATCAGTGTCCAGTGAGGCAAAATATGGATTAATTAAATTTAACCATTTAACGTCCATGTCAATTTGATGTCAGTTGTTTAATATGATTTGAGCAAACGTCAAAATACAGTGGAAACAACTCGTTTTTGCGAGATATTAAAATAAAACGTATGTGTGTGTATTATTTAAATATATTATTCATACCTACTTTATTTAATTATGAAAATTGTAGAAATACAAAAATATTTTACTTATTTCATCGATTTAGACTCGGAGCAAATAAAGACAATGATTTTAGTATGATATTTATTGTGGTGAATTGTACCTATTTTATTTTACTGTTATTTTGGATCGATAAATTTATGCTTTATAAATAATATGTTTTGAAATCATGCAAAAAAACAGTGTACAAAATATCAGAGTATATCGTTAGAGCTTAAATAAATCTTAATAAGCAAGTATATGATTACAGTAACAACTATTTTTGGATGAGTCGAAATTCATTTAAAATCGTTTTCCAGTACAAAGATTTATCATTACTTCAAATATCAAATCACCCGACACAGTATCAGCATTTTTGAATGTGGACTTAGCGTGTACTCCTACTTTTGTTAGAAAATAAGTAAATCGGTATATAGGTACTATAAAGAATAGAATATTTATTATAACTGATAAAAGTGCCTAAAGCAGCGAAAGTAGTATGTAATATTAGATAAGATCAAAACCATTTGCGTCTTTAAATGCGCTTAATATTCTGAAAACAAATAATATAATATAAATTTATCATCGTCTGCAGAAATATGATATAAAATCTACATGATAAATGTAATAGTTATTTAATAAATTAATATTATCACTGTTGTACACATAAACGCTATACGTATGTATAGGGTATAGGTTTTCTTGGGAAAAATAATTAAAACGATTGACCTATTTCATGCGACGGTATTTATTATTCTGATATTAAAAATATTTTAGTCCGCAATAAACGTAGAATATTTCGATAAGGCAGTTTTTCGTTTACTTTTTAATTGTGAAAAACATTCCCGGCATATATCTAACGGTTCATCTGCACTACAAATTGCAATAAGGTTTTATTGCGAAATTCATTTTTTTATATTAATGTATAATATACCTATATAGTAATTTTATGTGAAAGAAAATCTTATGCCATCCATGATAGCAAAAGTCAATTCAATTTAACATAATTCACACGTGACTGTAAATAACATTTTTCAGCCGGTCGCAAATGTTCAATGAGTACTTATTCACATACATATTATACGAGTAGAAATACAAATTACGGCGTATTCTAAATTTCTAACATATTTAATATATAGGTATCTAATTGATGATCAACAATTCAATATCGGGCGCCTGCTCGTGACCGAATTGTTCGATTGCCAATTATTTGACCCACTAGATACTACGTCCAATACAAGATCTTTTTTTCAATGACTATTACCAAAATTAACCGAGGATTAAACCAGAATTTCTCATTTTATATAAAATGGTTTATATTCCATATAATTATAATGGTATAAAATATCATTAATATCCATAAAAATGCATTTTTCTAATGATTTTTTAAACACAGTTGAAGTGTTGTTCAAAATGTGACTTCATAGAATTAGTCTATTGAGTATGTGTAGTTTTTGAATTTCAAAATTATATTATATGGAATATATATAAGACGAAACATAGGTAATTAAGTCAATAGAAATGGTATTATTTGAAAAGCTGCGAATTTATCAGTTTGCTATATTATAAACAATATATTATAAATAAAATGAGGTAGAAAAATAATTAAACAATATTGTGTTATTCAAAAAAGAATTCCTAAAATGTTGAAATTATATTTATCATGTTATTTTATACAGTGTGATATATACATAATGATAAAAACTATAAGTCATAATTAATGATATAATTTATTTATATAAAAATTAATGTTATGAAGTATGGTTCCAAAATAATTATACACATATATTCATATTATGCATACACACTTTTTTCCAGATCGCAACTATGCATAGAGATGTGTATAATATAATACTTATATTTTTCTATCATGGTTAGTGTTTGTGGATATCCTACTCCATGTACCGGAGATCGAATTGAAGTGTAGTATTAAAAGTATATAAGAACAAAAAACAAGAAAAAATAATAAACCAGTCTTATTTTCGATTAATAAACGCGACGAAAGCGATGACAATATTATTATTAAAAAATAATATTGGAAACAGAAAAAAAATATTGCGAGAAAACAAACGATGAAAATACAAAATATTATAAATACAAAATCAGTTCAGATCAGATGATGCATAATGATTGGCTTTTTTGGATGGCACCGCGCAAGTAGTCGTAGATATCGAATAGGATGAAGACAGCGTGAGCACGGGCTGTATGAGGCTGTAAGCGCCCATCGACCCGGTGGTATTGCGTATGTAGTCGGCAAAGTTGTTCCTGAGCACATAAACGAATCCACCATAACCGGGGGCCACGTGCACCGGAGCCCGGCAATCCTGGCCTTTGGAAACTAACTGAAAGCCAATCGGGTGAAATGGACCGTAGTTAGCGTCCCACGACCATATCTCGTTCTCAGTTGGCCGCCGGAAATACATGCGACTTCCTGTATCCGTACCGAGCACGGTGATCTGGTACGGTTTATGTCCCACCTCGACGATGGCCGGCTGAGCTGAGTCCAAAGTGCATCGGTCGATGTACTCGAGGTTGACGGCGAACACCTTGCAACCGGACATGAACGTGGTGTACATCCATGTCTGGCCGTTCGCGATTTGTAGTTGCACCATGAACAGTATATCTCTCGGCGTCCCTTCGAGCCCTGTCGACTTTTGCGGGAAGTCCATGGCCCACTGAGCTCCCGTGTCCGTGTTTAACACCAGTACTGTGCTTCGAGCCGCGTCCGACACGAAAGCGTAATGGTTGCAATCTCCGGTTCGCGAACGAAACGTGGTAATGTATTGTAGACAAGACGGGGTCTCGGCACCGTTGTCTATGGTATCAATCACTACAGTCTTGATTTCGAACGTCTCGTACGACGACTGCAAAAGAGAGATCGACAAAGGGTAACTACTCGAACAAATACTCTACGGTGCAATACAGCGCGAGTATGGCGCGTAATGCGGTATCGTGGCAACGCACCTTTGGCGGTCTTCGGTGGTCCTGATCGTCATCGATTTCCAATTTGACGACCTTTGCCGGGGCGACGCGTCTCGGACTGTCGGTCATCGTGTCCACCACACCCACGTCCAACAGCCACACAACGTCATTGATGTCGTCGATACAAAGGTCGACGACGTTGACAAGCGGAGCCGGGGTCAGAGCCGAGTCAGCGCTGGCCGACGGTACCGACGTCTCGGCTAGGTGCGTGTCGGGCTCGGAAGGCAGCGGCTGCACGTCCGGTTCGACGACTGCCCTGTCGTCGGTCCCGGCGGTCCGAAACGAACCCAACGTAAACGGGACGCCGGGCCGGAAACGCGGGGACACGACTATCACGCGCCCGGCTCGAGTCATCTGAAACCGACTGTGGATGACAGCTCGTGGAATGTAAGAATTGTTCCACGCCGGGCTTGTACCTAGCAAGTGATGGTCGTAACGTCTGTCTGCGCTGACCGACCGGACGACCGACGAAGTCAGTTGAAACAGAAACAGTAACAATAGTGATTGCTCAAAGTCTGCCGTGGCGATACGTGTATAACGCATAACATATACTTCTACTAAGTATGATTATATTTTTTAAAGTACACCGGTCGGAATCGAGACGGATGTAAGTAAACGGATTGCTTCTGTCGTTCTGAAAATGAAAAACACATACAACGTGTGATGTTGTGTAGTTTTTTACAGTTGAAAGGGAGGGATTATTTAAAAACTTTTTATTAATATAGCATCTTTGTATCCAAAAAAAATTATTCCTAATATTTTCAAGCCTAAAATATTTACGTGATTTAGAGTAAAACTTCACGTAGAAAACACTCGAATTTCGTAACATAAAATAACAAAAAAAAAAAAAAAAACCGTAATAACTCACATCCAAAATCTGTGTGCATAAATTATTATAGGTATTATGTGTTAAGCGAAAAAGTTTTTCAAAGGATTATATCTGTTAACTTTTCGTGATAAAGATAATCCAAACGTTATGAATACAAATGATTTTGTCAACAACTGAACGTTGCACAGGAAAATAATGTTTATATTATACATTGTATTCGTATACTGAGTACATAATATAGCTGATACGCACCTTTATTATATATTATTTTAAATAAACTATGCACGTATGTAATACAATAGTTTATTTTCTATTTTAATTTTGAAACGAGTTCATGCCTAATCGCTTTTCTCACGATAAAACAAATATATGTTTTTTATTACTGTTATGAGATTTGACTTTTAATTTTTGTTCTTCTTTCTGTGGCTGTACTCTTTTCTGTCGATGGTCGACGGACATAATATGTTTATTATAAATTGTTCACTGTATTCTTAATATTCAAATTGCTCAATACGAAAACATGAAATCGTTTAACCGTAGTTAGTATTGAATATTTACTATTTTTTTTTTTATTAGTATATAATAATATTATATTAAACGGATTACAATATTATTGTAAAGAATATCAAACAAATATATCATCCATGGACGAAAGAATTGAAAAAAGAAATATTATAATATTCGTAGTATAGCATATATTATCGACTTAACGTCTATGCATACGGTATATCGTACTGGAATAAATAACATGAGGATAGCGTATTGATTTATACTTGTGCAGGGGAAATGGACATTTATGTCGATGTTGATTTTGTTATTTTAACGCTGCCAATTGGGCGATGCAAATTGTTGAACGGTTGCAATGCGTGATATTCCGGGGTCATATAACTAATGCAAAACAATTTGTCATATTATTTAAACGAGGAAAATGGCTGTGTAAAATACGTCGAGAATATGGAAATCCATTATATATAATATTACGGTAACTGATAAAAATGTATGTTTTGACATTTCTCAAAGGTTTGCGAAATAATCTTTTAAATAAATTCGTATCAACACAAATCACAACAAACATTAAAGTTGATACAATATTATTATCATAATCGGGTTTCTGTGTATAATGCAATGTTTCTAACGAAAATGGATAGATAGCGGATTATTGATTATAGACGATGGATCAAAACTATGTGTTATTTCTTAAGGATAATTGATTATATAATTACAATACATTATTGTAATTTGCAACAACTAGACTGCCATATATTCAAATATACCTCTTAGATACTAGAGAAACAACACGATTTGGAGTTAAAAGTAAAATTTTACTATTTATAATCTATAACTCGTTAAATTTTTGTGTTCATCTCGCAATCCACAAATCACAATGGCTTACATCGAGTGTAAGCTATATTATTTCTATTGTATTCTGACTTGAATCATTACTGCAGTTTCTTTTGGTAATTTGGGACTGAGAACATTTATGAATAATACATTATCCCAGCTCCAAAGGTTAGATAATATCTATGTTTATGTAGGTATCTACCTATCTAATTTATTAGAACATAATCTGAGACTTGAGGTAGCCTATCTTATTGCTTAGATAAATCACAGGAAAATTTACCACATTGAAGCCGATATTACTACAGTGTTCAGTGAAATTTTTTTTATCGTTAGTTTATAATTTAATATATTATCTTTAAAATCACCTGTATATAATATATGTAGTCATAAATATCACGTTTCTACGTTAGTTATAAACATATGATAAACTTTGAACTTGTAGTTGTTACATTATATTATACAACATGAAATAGTTTCGTATAAATAATATGTCTATCATAAAATTATCATTAATATTGCGAATGGTTAAGGTCCTTGGTCTATCAATTTAATCACTTAGATTTAATAATACTAGTTTTATTTTTTAATTGATTAATTTATAGATAAATAAAAATAATAACGATAATAATAATAATAATTTATGGCATTTAAATTTAAATAATTATAATAAGTTAACGCCACTTTGATATAAATATATGCATTCTTTATATTTTTCGTATATAAATACATAGAACTTAAATATATTGATTATAGAAACCATAATTTATAACGAATGTGTATTATATGAAAACAAATAATATGAAACGGTTAATGTTAATCAAATTCAAATTATTTTTATTATCCTTAATTTTATTACAATTTCGTGCTTAAAATTAAATAATTATAATTGGAGAGTAACTTTATACTATATAAAATACATATTTATTTGTTATTACTAAACGAAAAAATATTAGCTAAAATTTGCTACTCATGTTAATCAAATAATAAATAACAACATATTTTTATTCTAGTTAATCATAGACAAAATATGAATTTCATTAAAAAATAATTAGGTATTTAAAAACATCACTGTTTTATTGAAATTGTTATAATCATATTATGTCAGTGTACGTATGTTGTCTAACAAAAGTTATACCTTACCTTATAATTTTATTAAGAAAGGAAACTTATAGGCAGAATTATATTATATTATAAATATTATTATTAAACTCTCAGTGACATGGACCATTAGGCCAACAAAAGTGTATTATAATTTGAGTGCAATTACAAGCTATCAATGACAATGTTTTACAGGTTTAAACAAATTAAAAGTAATATTATATATTATTTTAAATTTAGTTATGTAGTTGAGCGGGGATTATGAAATCAAGTGAAAATTGATTGAATATAGCAGTATTTTAAGGGTATGAGTCTAAAATGTTTTGGTAAACATCATTATAATGGTTCTAAAATTATTTTCACATATATAGAATTGGATATTACGTGTATACAAGTTAGGGAGGACTTTAACATAATATCTTATCCTATTTTTCTGTGTTATATAGAATTATTATCATTTATTAATAAGATTAACAAGTTTTTTTATTTCTTTTGTTTAAGTATTATATTAAGTATTATTATAAACATTTTTGGTAATAGCTACTTAATCTCTCCATGTATTGTATGAATATTTAAAAAATGTTTACATAATTACATTTCTGGAAAAATTATTGCACCTTTTACCTACACTATTTTTTTATTTTTTTTAATACATTATTAAAATCTATACAAGGGTCAACAATAATTGTAGTTATTATTGAGCATCGAACATTAATAATTTTTAATGTTATTTATTATATATAATATCAATAACTGATAACATATATCTATTCATTATTTAAGGTTATGAATTGGCCATATGTATTACTTATTGATATCATCTAAGCCTATAAGTACTGTACTTGTTATTGCTCGTTAAAATTGTTCTTATTATTTCATATCGAAACAAATTGTTTATTAACTACTATAATCCGTTTTAATGTACTCTTTCGATTAATATAATTAAATATTAATTAAATAAATAACAAGTAAACATAGTTATTTATTTAAGTGTATCTGGTACCTACAATTAAATTATTTTAATAATATTACCTGTATAATTTAATTACATAATATATTATTATAATGTAAATACGTACTGCGAGTAACCTAGTATACTAAATTATTTTTATCTAGTCGGAAATTCATCAATATTTTTTGTTCTTTAAACGCCACTTATTCATTACATCATCAGTTATACATAATATGTCCATTAAAATTACTAAGATTTAAGATTAAATACTAAATAAGTAGTGAAAATTACAAATAAATATACTGTTTTGTTGTTGGGTAACGATTACTACAAATAATACACGTACAATAATATTATGATATAATAATAAATTTACATATTTATAAAAATATAAATAAACCTGCAGTATGCATTTTTTTTTTATAAATGAATAACATAAGTGACCTTCGGCACATGTTTTTTGAAAAAAACACGTGAATTTGTTATTTATATTTATTTGATCTTACACAATTCAATATTTATAAATTTTACGATAAAATTAAAAATTATTATTCCTATTTTCGTTCATACTTTTAGTGTACTCATTAAAAACTACTAGTAAGGTTAACCAGTTAACCTAACCTATAAATTTGTATTATCCATATTTACGTAGTCAAAAATTATCGCTTGACTGCAGCAGAAGACATGCGTTGTACAAGCTAAAACGTTCGTGATATATTCACTGTGAATGCTATTATATAATACTCGTAATTATTAAATATTATAATGTTATCTATTCGATGACTTGGAATTTATAAATTATATTGTACAAAAAAATAATATGTTTTGATTTCTGTGTACCAGGAAATCGGAGAATAATATAGTAGTTCACCTCGTTTAAGTAATTAATTAGGTAGTGTTTCGTAAAATTAGTTGAAGTAAATAGATGCAAATAAATAAATTCATAAACAAGCATAGTAATATTTTATGTTATCAATAATTAATTATTTATCATAGTTTCTTAAAAAAAAAAAAAATAAATAAATAACATAATAATACGAGTAAACAACAAAGTTATATTAAATTTATTGAATAAATGAAAATAAAAACTTTATTTACATAACATTTTATTTGATATTAATACCAAAAATTATGGATTTAAAATTAAAGCGTGAAAATAAATAATAGTATATTACCTTTCTACAATAGACGTGAGTTCAAAATAATTGCCAAAAAAATAAAAATAAATATGAATTTTAAGATAAAACCATTTTTTATTTTTCTACTGTAATTTAAAAGATTAAAAATAAATACCATATACAATTTAAAATATTTTGTTTATTTTTGGTATTACTTACAAGAATTTAAAGTATTTAGATTTTAAATAATATATATCTTAAATTGAATTAATATATTAAATAATTTAATTTAAGTAGAAAAAGCTTCAAAGTTTATTTCAAAATTTCTCACAAGTTGTTTAATGATTTTAAAATATGAAAAGTATTTTATAGGCTAATATTTTAAGCGTTTGTTAATATAGTTAATTTATACAAGTATTATTTAGTAATTTAAAAGTTAAGGCTTGAACTTTTAATATAAATTCTCTATTAGTTGTTATAGTATAGTAACCTAAAAATATCAAAATAACATACACGTGGTTTTTTTATAGAAATTTATTTATATTTTTACAAAATTAGATATTTAGACGAAATATTACATTTCTTTATTTCATTGATTTTAGTTATTCTTTGTATCAAATTAAAACATTAATATTCTTTTATTATTATATTATTTTAATTATATCATTAGAATTTCTCCTTATCTCACGTATATTTTTATTAATTTTTATACATATTTAAAATTCAAAATATATAGAATCTACATTTTAGATACATTTTTAGCTATTAATACTACAAAAATTTGCAAATTATTAAGTTATTATTAAACTCCTCCCTCTACCCCCCATGGATTAGTGTAATAATATTAAACATATATTTATGCAATTAAAATTTCTCCGTTTATTAAACTCTAAAGTGTTATATGTGACCGTACTAATATTTAATATATTTTTTAAATTTTTATACATCAACTCATAACTATACATTGAATGCTTGAACGCATCAAAATAACAGATACGCTTTTGTTTTTGTTTTCCAGAACGTGTCAGCGGTGTCGTGGAACAAGATCACTGGTTAATTAACAATAAACAGACTTCTAGTTTGTCTGATTTTTGGTTAAAAGCCGGTCATTGATGATCCACGCTGAGACGACAACCATAATATTTTCTGCTGAGCGGACCTATACTTTGCAGACGACATGCAACTGGCTAACGGATAGAAACTGCCTACGAGTAATCGACGTCAAACTGACACCACCACGGCTACTGTTTACCATTACTGCCTACACTAAGTAATCGGATTACACCGTTCTAGTATTTTACCACGATGGAACGCAACAGATTGTTTCTGGTACCACGGTTGTAGCCGGACTCGTATTACAACGACAACGACCACGACCATCACTCGCACTAGTCGAATCGTTATCCGATCGTCTCTTATAGATTTATGGAAGCGGACGATGATGGACGCGACCCGGCGGCGGTGGCGGAGACGGAGACGAAGACGGCGGCGGCGACTGCGACCGGAAAAGACGATGACGATGATGACAGTGGCACTTCCGGCTGTGATGAAGAGTATGATGAATATCTAGCTGACTTTCTCAAAAAACTATGCCGGGAACGGGTAACCGCTAATGATCAGTTGTTGCCATGCACTGCAAAGCGAGTATCGGCCCAGGTAGAGTGTGTACCATATGGCGGTGTCCGGTACGGGGGGGTTGATGACAACGAAGCGAATGCGAACGACGATGATGACGCGTCTTCAGCAACGATGACTCGCAAACCTAAGATACCAGACGGTGGCTGGGGCTGGATGGTAGTGTTCGCTTCGTTGATGATCTGCCTAATCTCAGATGGGATCAGCTTTTCTTTTGGGTTACTATACATTGAGTTCCTCAAGGAGTTTCAAGAGAGCAAGTCCAAAACAGCGTGGATTGGTAGCCTGTTTATGGCTGTACCGCTGATACTGGGACCGGTGGGAAGCGCTTTAGTTGACAAGTTTGGGTGCCGGAAAATGACCATCCTGGGTGGTATAATATCCGGCTTGGGGTTCATTATCTCATCGTTCGCTGACTCGATCGAGATGGTGTTCTTCACTTTTGGTTTCCTATCCGGACTTGGACTGTGCTTATGCTACGTGACGGCCGTCGTCAGCATCGCATATTGGTTTGACAAGAAGCGCACCTTAGCTACCGGGTTAGGTGCGTGTGGAACCGGGATCGGCACGTTTCTATATGCGCCGATGACTCAGTATTCGATCGAGGAGTACGGCTGGCGAGGCACCGTGCTCCTATTAGCAGGCACGTTTTTCAACTTTTGCGTGTGTGGTGCTCTGATGCGTGACCCCGATTGGCTGATCGCTGAACAGAAGAAGCCGGCGGTCACCAATGATCATTCAACAGCTGTCATCGCCAAACCATGGACTGATACTGAGGAGTCCATCGTCGATCACTGTCCACTGGTGACCGTTGAGAATGAAACAACCGCTACGCCCGCCGGAAAGACTACGGGATTTGAGCTTGTCGCGTCTGAACCGGATGTAGATGTACTCATGAAGTATCCAGGAGTTGAGCAATATAGACGCATGGTTAAAGAAGCTCAATGCGCTGAATACAGGCTGACTGGTGTCACCACCACTGTTCGTAGTCCAATGACCAACGGTGCGCGACGAATGTCTGACGACAACGCTGGTTTCCGGTCAGTCATCAATTTACCCACATATCTCAAGCACAATGAAAAAGTAAGTTCATCCGTTTTTTTAATGACCTTGTCGCACTTTTACCTCACTTATCTAATCTAATCAACGCATTAGTTTCAACATAGATTTTGAAAATTTAATTTTCTGACATATCAACTATATTCCCTGTAAATGTTTTCAAAAACCACATAATATAATTAGAAATAATTCGATAATATATAGATATAATAATGCGTTTGGAAATAATACGAATGGCGCACAATGTGAACATAGTAAACCGTTAAATAAGATCATTTTGACAATAAGCCTATTGTCGTTAGAATTAACGAGTTCTTAAGTATAATTACATTAAAGAATAAATCCCTTCTTGTTTTAAGAGAAAAAAGTATTTTCAATTAAAACAGTAGATCGATATTTTTAATGATAAATAAACTTAGTATTATAAACCGTATACTGTCGTACATTTTTAGCTACAACGTACGTGATTTTATATCAGAATTATTTAATGCGTACAATAATTGTTTCTGAAGTTATTGACATATTGTATTATTATACAATAAACAAAAAAATTGAAAATAAAATCATTAGAAAAAAAACAATTGAAATCATTAGATATTCAAATCTTTAGATGGGTGATGAATTTTATTGTATACAATATTTATAAAGCAATTGCAGATGTTTTCAAACAATTTGTTGTGATTTTCTTGTTACACGTCTATAGTATTATACTTGTAGACATGTTATACGAATCAAAGCTATATTAATAACCGGAAGCAACGAGTTAGGAATAATGATAAACATTTAGGAGTTATCATTATGCCAAGTTAGGGGTCCTCCAAATAATAATTCCTTTGTAAATCGTTTTTATATACACGTATATATAAATACCTGTTATGAAGTGGAAAAAAATGAATTTTAAAAAACCGCTACTTGACATAAATGGGTACTTTATGTATGTATATACTTTTATAAACCTATACGATTCTCAATTAAATTATGTTGAACCGTATACTAGGAAATTTTTTTTAATGGATAAATATTATAATAGAAGTTTTTAAATTGAATTAAATTATATTGGCAAAATAATAATACTTACACTAAATGTAAATACAAAGCTCAAATATACGAGTGCAAGTAAATAAATATTTAATTACAATTTACAAGTATTAATAATAATCATGTTAGTCTAAATAAATACAGCGCAATTATTACAAATAAATCATTAGTCATTACCCTTAAAAAAATATTTATTATTAACAACATTCTTTAAAACATTTGGTAATAATTGCAATATGTCATATTCTTATACTTTATTTGATTTTTAAACATATATTTTTAATTTAAAATTTTGGTTGGATAATATTATAGAGTTAAATGATATTAAAGTAGATAAATTACTCTTTTATACTTCACTAATTTTAGCTTAAAATAATTATAAGTAACAATTTGGATGATATTAAATTTATTTTAAACACAAAAAAATTCTGATACTATTTTGTTTGAAAATTTAAAAATAAAAATAAATAATAGTTACAATTCAATAGATGAAACCATTTTAAAAATAAAAGGATAACTTATTACCCCCCTCCACATTATCACTCAAAAAAAAAATTGCGTGTGCTACCATGCGTAGACCTTAGATTTAACCGTCCTAGAATAGGCAGAATAATAACCTTTCTATAAAAATATGCTACTGTTTTGTAAATTGCTCGATGAAAAATTTCTTGGATATTCAAAAAATTACATATGATAAATAAATTATAGGCATAGTAAATGTATGATAAAAATGTTAAAAACAGAGATTTCAAAGTTTTAAAAAATGGTATTTAGCTCAAAATCAGTATACTTTATAGATCAATTAATATATTAAAATTTAAAAGTAATTAATACCTATATAATTTTATTCTTCAATCCAAGTAATAAAATATATTTAATACAATACAACAATATTCTTGTATAATTGTATAGTATAAGAAATTTAAAGAAATAATTAACCTAATTTTGGATAAGTAAAAACACTATTGGTAAATAATCAATAAATGTCCAAAATTTTCCTACCCTTTGAGTATTTCCAACAGTATTGTTTCGAAATTTATAATATGTTACAGTTAATGACGTACATGAAGATAACGAAATTATTAATATATGATAGAATTAATTGTTATGTAATATTAGCTAGAAAATAACGATAACGGGCAGGATTTTCAATCAATAGTTCACTATAAATCAATATTTCCTTGACAATAATTTAATTTTCAAGATTCATCAACCAGTATTGATTAACACTAGCATTTATAAAATATTTTTGATAAATACTAGTACATTAACACAGTATAATGCCATGCAGAAAATTCAAGAATATATTTATCATAATTTATGTGGTTATCTGTGAATCTCATAAACTTGAAAAACGCAGTTCTTTGTAATAATGAAATTGTATGTTGAAAGAGGAGTGTAAAGTGAGCTACAGTAATAATGAAATATTCTAAGAGCAAAATTTCAAAACTTTCATTTTATACTTTTATAGGGATGATCGTAAGTCCACCATATCCGACACGGAAGATTTCAAAATTCTTCTTAAAATCTGTTGCCAGAGATAACTACATATAAAAGTGAAATATACATATTATTTTAGAAAAGTAAAAATTAATTTTAAAAGCTTAGTGTAATTGTGAAATGCCAAATTGATAATTTAATTCAAAATTTCATAGTAATCTAGGAAAATAAATAAAAATAGACAAAGCAAATTGAAATAAAATTATTGTTTCATTGTGGTTTTTAATGTTATTCTTTAATCTAGAATGTAAATACTATAAGTTATAATCATAAATATTTATTTATTAAAATTAACCGCGATATTTGTACAAGCTTGTAAAAATTTACAATATTGTGTTGTAAAATAGACAGTCACATAGACTATATTCACTAAATTATGTCATTATTGCTTGACTTATATCTTTGAATGTAATGTATTAATAGAAAAAAAAATGACGAATATTTTCTGGATACTGAGGAGTGAGGATGAGTGATAAAAATATTACCTTGTTTTAAATATTATGGTTAACAATTTATCTTTTAGAAGATAATTTATAGGGCTTATGGTCTTAAAGTCATGAGGGTATAAAGTCACGATCTGTACCGTTTAGAGTCGATGCTGGCTTTTATGATAATCAGGTAAATGAGATTTTTTAAACAAGCTACGGTTAAAATTCATGAATCACCGTTTACATTATACTTAATAGCGGTATCTCTCCACCACTATAGTTATTCATCTCTACAATTTTGAACCATTTACGTTCTCGTTGAATACTATTTTATAATCTCAAAAAAGTAACATAAGTAAAACTACATCATTCATAAAAATAAAAATAAATACTTGATGCATGAATTTATGTGTCTTATTAATACATAATATATACATTTTTCAAATATTTTAATGGGCACCACAGTCTGTCGTAAATATAATAATAAATATTTTATCTAATTTATATTCAACGGTTTATAAACTATAAAAATAATGGTTTCCAATACTGCAATAAATGTGCAAAAGAAAAATTGTATGTTTTTTATTTTTGTAATGTCGGAAGCAAACAAACTACCAATGATACATAAATATTATTATATTGTAAATAAAATAAATAAATAAATGCTTAATATCATTTATGCGAATTTATGGAAATACATATGAATTTTTGAAGACTAAATTATTGTTAATTTTCCGAACACAATTAAAATTATATTATTTAATAGTTCAATATAATAGTATAAAATTAAAAAAACTATGTATAATACTATAGTGATAATACGTTGTATACCTATGAAATATATTATTATAGTTATAAAAATAATACATACAATATAATATTGTATGTGTTGGTGTTGCTGCACAAGGTTTTCTAGTTTTAATTAAGATTATAGATAAAAATATCTATAGCCGTAGTTTTACAATCATTTCAAATACTTATTAATATAGTGATACACAATTTAATCGTTTCCTACTAGTGATTAGTGATTGTAAAACATAAATTGATTTGATATATATATATAAAATTTTTATATATTAATATCTAATGCACAAATAATATCATAATATAATAATCCGATTTCAATTTCTTTTGTGACAATACCTATAGGCTATAATGTTTATAGTTTTATTCTCGTAATGATGCGTTTTTAATTTTAACATGAAATTTATATGATTTTTTTTTTCACGGCGTTATTATTTTTATAATTTACGAATATTTTATCTTAAGTAAACTGCCCATATTTGTTTCCTTTTTCTCCTTTCAATAATTCATAACATTTGCATACTGATCGACGATTACACACTTAAAATAATATAAGATACTTTCCATAATCTGATAACCTGCATATTACTGCATACTTGGTTCAGTAAATTAATTTTCTTAGGAAAAGACACATAATTTAGGATAAAAATAAATAAATAAATAAATAAATCAAGAAATCTGTATAGTATTCAGTTTATAATAATATAATAGATAATAGCATTGTATTAAAAGCATAGAGTGTAATAATAGTATCAAAAATAATATTTTAACAGACAAGTATTGTGTTTTACAAAAAGAGAATAGATATAATCATATAAGTTAGTAAATTAACATTTAATCGAACCATTCTACCATTTTAGTTATTAGGCAATTCCATCATCTTGAAATGTCTGCAGTTCTGCACTCTGTACAAATCGTTACAATAATAATAATACATATGATTTCTTACAGGTTCCGTTCGAGGTACTCGAATCGTTAAGTTCCAATAAGACGCTGTTCAACTTGATCCTAGTTAACTATCCAAACTTGTTATTGTGCCGGAGCAACAGTGTGAGCCAGTTGAATAATACTTCGGTGGGCAAAGACTCGTCGGATACTCGGACGGTTAACAACAAAAGTGGACTTCGGTGTGACTCACCACCGCTGGTTATGAAAATGAAATTGAAACAATCAAAGAAGTTCAACTCTATGGGTTCAGGTGCCATGTCACCACTGGAATCGCAAGTAGTATCGCCGCCGCAGACTTATACCGCCGACAATAGCCCCGAACGACAGCCTAAAGCACATCAATCGATGTTGAAGAGACAATTTAGCACTACTCAAAACAGCTATTTTAAGAGCTTACCATATCACAGGTCAGTCGTACAATTCATTGCATTATCTGTAAATTTTTCGATAGTAAATAATAACACGCAATATACAGTACCCACGCGATAGGTTTGATTATTAACTTCAATAACCAATAAATATTATAATATTTAAATAGTCTTCCATAATCGAATTAAAACTTCTCAACTTGCAATTTTTTTTTTCTACAAAAGTCCTAGACATTTTCAAATTATATTATTTTGTGGGCACGAAATATAATTACTATATTTTAAACAACAACGGTTACATATTAAAAATACTTAATATATATCCATGCGTTTTTAGTTATAACATATTAAAGTAACTTAATACCATTTTGGAATGCATTAGTTTAAAAAAAAAAATAGTTACTTAATATTTTACTTTCCGTTTTAAAATAGTACAAATGTTATGAATTTCATTATGAAATTAAATTAATATTTAAAATCTATTTTAATAATTATAACAGGTTTTAAATATTAATTTATTTTATTATTTCTGCTTAACCGCATATTTCATCATTAGCCATTATCAATATGTCATGTTATTTGTATTAAAAAAATATTTATCCTTTGTGAAGGAGTTAAATAATTTACCTGTTAATGTCGATAAGTAGAAAATGACTGTGGATTTTAAAGTAGCTTACCATCAACGTAGGTATATTTGATAGTTTATAGTTGAATAGTTCTATACTTTACCTTTTTAATATTTATTATGTAGCTATATTTTATGTGTGATATATTAGTTTTTAACCATTTAAACATTTAGCATGTTAAAATAATAATTTAGATTAGGAATCAATCATAAATTATGTACCGTAAATTTTGGCAAAATCCCATGCACGTTATATAATTTATGAATGCTCGTAAATGTGATTATATACATTATACATAAATCGAATTATTGATATTATAACACACCAAACTCCGAACGGATTAGATACTATTTTCATGATTTAATGTGTCTGAATATAATGAGAATTTATTATTATTAGGTTTACATAACCAAGTTAATAGTTTAAGGATAGTTATAGGGAGATCATTCATGAAAAAGAGATTTTTAGATTCTTAGAGAAAATTGTTTTATTAGGTGATTGGATTTATAACAACGTGAGTATTTTTATGTAATTATTTTCAAAAAATGTTTATTCTCAGATACATATTATAATATAGTCTTATAGTTTTACTACTTGTTCACCAATTAATGAGAAATATATCATAATAATAATAATAATAATAATAATAATAATAATAATAATAATAATAATCATTATAAATCGTGATTAACAATAAAATTTTAGTAAAATATTATACTTTCACTGTACTGCTGTACGTTTATAATGTATTTTGTAATTTAAAAATAATGTCATGATATGTACAGTGTTATAAATTAAAATAATAAAACAATTTTTTTATTTTTTGTATTTCAGGAGCTCTGTGATGTACAAAGGAGCAATATTAAACATACAAAAAAATTCTATGAAAGCGTCCTCGTGTCCAGACATATACAACAATAACTCTACGTTAACAGTCATTAGTGAACCCGATTCCGTAAGTTTATTTTTTTCCACCGAAACAATTTATGTATTCCTTCTTTTAGACGAAACAAACGGATGCAGAACTGTAACTGTAACTGTAAACATGTAAAACTGGAATTTCGATTCTGTATGAAAAACGAAAAAATGTATAAACGCCCAACACACACGTTTTTACAGATGCTCCGCAGGCATAGTTTTGTCAAAGTAATTAATCAGTTATCGAATAAACGTGTGAATACGGTACGTCGAGTTAGGCGGAAAAGATCATATTTTCATTCGAAAGCGTTGAAAAAGGTAAGGTGGAATGGCAAAGATGTGTGGTGGATGGTGAGTGCTTCTAGGAAATGGATGCATTTGGCATGAATTAAAGAATGATAATACCGATGAAGAGATATTGTTAAAAATATGCAATATGCATTGCATTTGTTTTGAATAAGCAAAAAAATCATTCGTTTTAAAAAATAAATATTTATATTGAAATGTATTTATTCTTGTAATTAAAAAATATTTTCAACGCCAATATTTTAATTTTATCCGTAGGTAGGACGCTGTTTAAAGAAATCGAGAAAAAAATTAGATTTAACGTTAACTGTTGATTAACATTCAGTAACACTATATAAATTAAATTATTGAATTACTTTAGTTACTAGCATAATATTAATAACTTCAAACTTAATAACGATGAAGGTAATTCTTTTTTTTTAGATACCTACTAATTAGAAGTATGGAATAAATAAAATAAATAATTTTATTAAAATACGTTAGTCAATATTGATTCATCCATAAAAATTAATTAATAATATTAACTCATATAATATTTTGTACATAATTGGATCAATTTTGCTTTTGAGAATCTCAACATTAACTCATGCAACATTACTAAGTTACTTTTTATACATAATTCTTATAATATATATTTTTAAAACTTAATAATACATTCAAAGTATTATACTTGTTTAATTATGTTAAACTAATTTACTTTGTAAAAAACAATTGTTGACAAGTTTCATATTATTTAAGTATGTAGATAACTTTCTATTATGCATTAATTATAAATTAAGTTTACTCATATTATTTTCAAATACTATTTACGTATATATAACTTGTTTAATACTTATTTTTGGAGCAATAGGACTGCCCTATATCCAAAATATTATAAATGAAAAATAAACACTTTCAATCATATTACTCATAAATTATAATATTAAAAAACAATTTTTAAAATGATCAGATTAATTGTTTTTTATTTAAATAATACTTTGTTACGTAACTGTCCCTTGTGCACTTACTATAAAAATTGGAACAAATCAAGACTGACGCTCATATCATAGATTATTATAATATATACATATAAATTAATGTCCATTATAATAATTACTTGATATAATTTAATGCAAAATAAAACATGTGAATACGGAGAATCAACCCACATAAATATGCATGTTCAATGTATAATACTATATTATATAATTTTTATGAAATAAATATAATGTATACACTATACCTACTATAAAGACATATTACATATTATATAATTATAATATTATTGTTAACATACAAATTCAATGCAACGCATGACAATAATTAGACACGTATATTGATGATATTATATTCACACGTCTATGATAAAATAAAATATATAAAATTATTACAAGTTATTACAAATAAATAAATATGCAATTGTTTTTAAATTTTGAGCGGAGCAATAGATGTATTAATTTTACCAAGATCTGTGCTTTTTTGTATTTGTGTACATGATAAGTAGTCGATAAAATGCTTCAATTTTAATTTTGAGATTAGTTTCGGATAGAAAATTGAATCGAGTTTGTACTTTTGAAAGGTCGAAATTAAAAATTGTCAGTTCTTTATTTTATAATCAAGAAAAAGAAGCAAAAAAATCGAGGAAATCACGTAAATCCAATATTGTTATTAAAATAAATTTTTTGTAACCATGGTTACCAAAACAGACAGTGTTTTGACTAATGTACAGCAGGGTGGTACCCACTCGTCTACCTTTTTTATGACTTCAATATAACTTGATATTATTTACATAATACATATTATATAAGTAAGCAAATAGTGTATTTATATTATAACTACGAGGAATATGGAAAAATATCTTTACGTATAAGAATAGATTAATAATAATTATTGACGATATAGTAGGTGGTAATAGTTCAGATATCATAGTAAGACGATTCTTCTCTAAAATAGCGAAAATAAAAATCGAATACAAAACATCGAAAATCATTTAACTAAAAGAATAAATAACGAATAAAAAATAATGGAAAACGTAAAAAAAAATTAAAATTATAACAAAAATTATTATTTATTGTTTATTTTATTAATATTTTATAGGTAATAATGAAAAAATAATAAAATATTAAAAATTAATATGTCAAATTATGGAAAATTTCTTTAAAAAAATTTAAATTATCATTTACGCTGTACATATTTACTAATTTTTGAATTCCGTTCAGCCGAATCTTTGTATGTACTTCTTTTTTTTCCTTATATTATTCATTCGATTACTACTAAATAACGATTAAAGAATAAAGATATCTTTAATCGTGGAATTAAACTGATTTACTTGTGTTTGAAGAAATCATTATCGATTTTATTGTCATTCGCTTTTATCTAGATTCGTCTAAACAGTTTTTGCTATTTTTAGTTCGCAGTTTTTTTCGTTATTTTATTTTTGCTAATTTTACGGGACACCTAGTTAGACACGGATCTAGGATGAATATACATCAGAATAAAACATTACATTAAAACTTAGACCAATCATATATTTTTTCTTTTATTTTCACTTACATGTAGCTCAATATTTTCAAATACGTTATTTTTATTTTTGTAATTAGGTATTTATATTCTTTTAGTAAACAGAAATATGAATATATTTATAATTCAATTATATATTTAAAATGAATAAAATGCGAAGTTTCTTATGCCAACCCACCTTGCTCTGGATTCGTTTCTACTAGTACACATAATATATTGAATCTTTTTTTTAACCATTTTGCTAGTTTGTATAATATAAAATATAGAATAGAAATTTTCAAACTCTCGGATAACTGTTGCACGTGACGCGTATAAACCATTTTATTATAGACGGTTTTCGTTACCGATGGCCAGGCCAAAATTTTTATGTAATTTTGTATGTTTCTGACAATCACGATTTTTCCTTGTTCAGTGCCTCAGTACACGTTGATTTGGAGAAATAAGTACTAATATACATAAAGTATCATTAAAAAAATATTCATCAAACTATCAAAGGGAGATGGGTGTTCCGAGCGTATTATTTTCGCTTGCCCCTGCGTAAACATTTTTTTCAACTCTGTAATTGTTATGTAATATAATTAAAATAAAATAAACACGATACAGTAGTATTTAAAGGTTTTTTTATATTTAGATTTTAAGAAAAGGAATTTAGAGATAGAGCTATAAGTCAACCTTAGTATACGGTAATAAATAAATAATGAGTGATTTTCGTTTGATATTATTCAAGAAAAAAACTGTAAATGCAGATAGAAAATTTAATATGGAAAGTTAACCTGTATTTTGTATGCAGCTTTTTAAATTTTTAATGGAAATCTAAAAGACAGCTATTGATCTTTTAAATAGTTATAATATTTGTTGAGTATAACACTAAATTGTAGTGATCCACTACAATATATATATATAAATATATATATTAAATATTGACGCCTGTTATAATAGTTTTACTTAAAAATGTGTTTACATTTTGTTTTTTCTTTATGGGACATATTCTACACTAATTATTTCTGTATTATGTAACAAACAATCCTAATAAATACACAAATAGATAGATAAATAACCCAATAAGACGTAAAAAAAAATATTCCGGGATATTTAAAACATCGAAAAATGAATATTACTATATATTCGAGTGTATTATGGACAATATTTCGAAAGGTTTTACATTCCTTGATACTTCATAATATTTTAAACCTTAAACTTTATAATGTGAGATGATACTTTAGCAAAAATGTCCACACATTATTCAAATTATTTTGATTAAACTTGAATATATATGGTTATATTAATATACTTATACAATAATAATAAGCTTTTGTTCAAATTAAATGTAAAATAAAAGCTAAAATAATATTATTTTTACTGTAATACGGTTTTTGAAAGAATTTATGTTCAAAGTGGTTATTTTCAAACTTTAAAATGTTACTTTTCTTTTATGATTCGTGAACATTAACGATTACCAAAAATATTTACAGCCTGCTACTGTACACCTCTTTAACTTAAAAGATAATATTATTTACATTATAGAAAATAATAATAAAGTAAAAATATTTTATAACATATTCTGAAAACTTAAATAATATAAAATATTTACTAACTAATACCTTAGTCATTACGGTTTTTGTTTCATAATTGTTTGAAAACGTTCAAAAAAAAAAAAAAAAAATTATTATTATTAAGAAAATTTACCTAATGTATGATATATACTAGTTTATTGTATCATATTGTTTTGTTACAATCAAATCGTTTTAATAACGCTCGTATTCTGAATGAGTGTAAAACGTGTTGAAATCATAACACGGGAAAAAAGAGCACTTATTTCTGTATCTATATGCGTATATAAAATACATTTATACGAGCACACAAACGTCCGCAAGAGGGTCACCCACTGGAAATATTGGCCTTGTCGCAGACGTTTTATATAAAGATTAATGTGTATTATCAATGTGTGTGTGAGTGTGTGTGTGTGTGTATTCGCGTGAACTACAACCGTTTTTGGTGACATGTGCCCGTTATTCAAACTTGTCACTGTAAACTTACTATAAACGCCGACACCATCGGTAATACATAATTAGACGCGAGCTCATTACAAGCTAAAGCTATTCGGTATCCGATTGATACCATTATAACATACGACGTAACTTTACAATCACCAACCGTGTGCCCGATCGTAATTTGGTTAAATTTCATTCTTTTTCCGTCTTTCATTGCCGTAATAAGGTCAACGTGAGGACAATAATTCAACATTATTTTGTATAGCATGGTTCACCAAGTATGCTCGATCTTGGTTTTTATTTAATGTATCTACATACAATACTGGGTCTTTAAAGAATAATAAAGTCTAGATATTTAAAAATATTATTTTTAGTATACTTAAAAGTTAAAAATACCAAAAATCAATATTTTAAGTAAGAGAAAATGCGTAATCAAAGGATCAAAGGATAGTGAGCACGCTTGATGAATCATCGTGTATATTGTAAAATATCGTTAGACCGCACGTCTAAATAATCAACTGA